GTTTTTAATTAATTTAAAGTAGTACAGTGACCTGCACAGTGTGTGTTTTGTTTTTGTTTCCTTGCAAAATATTCCTGAATATAGCTGCATATTTTTAATTGGAGGACTTTTAAAATATATGTTAAATATCTTAGGAATGAGAACTGAATCCATCTGTAGCAGCAGAATTGACTTTTCCCATATCTACTATCTTTACTTTTTTGTAACAAAGACATATACATGATTTCACAGATAAACAGGTGTACTTTAATACCACCTGTGGAGTTTTCCTTTGATGTTTGAAAGTCTGATTTTTACTCTTACCTCTCTGATTGCCTGATTTGGGTACTTCCGAATTATAATCTGACTCTCGCCCACAACATCTTGATTTAATATGATATCAGTCAAATGTTTTTTTTCTTACAGTTTTTATCAGATAACATTCATACAGCCTGAGAATCTTTCAAACAGTTTTGCTTACATTTATTTTTTTCCTTTACTTTCAAGAACAATTTGCTGCAATTATTTAACACCGAAACAACATGTATAAAACCAGGTAAAATCAACTTTTAGAACTGTGTGTGTGTGTGTGTGTGTGTGTGCGCGTGTGTGTGTGTATATATGTATATATGTATATATATGTGTGTGTGTATATATATATATATATATATATATTGTATCAAACTGAAATACTTCTTTCAGTCTCTAGCTTCTTTTTCCTCTCAGATCATGGAGTACAATTGCCCCTAATTAAATTTCCACAAAGCCGAGAAAACAGAACAGTATAAGAATGAACTTGACCTTAATTGACTCCAATGTAAATCTGCAGCTTTCTTTCTTGCTGCTTCTGCCTTTGGTTTTCTCCTTTTCCAGATGACTCAAGAGTCACTACTTCTTCAAAGATCCCAGTTTTTCCCCTCCAGTTGAATTCCCCACTTCCAGACTGAACCAGCTCCCAGAATCTCCCTATCACCATCTATGCCCAGTGGCTCCTCTCCCTCCGGGCCTCCTCTCCGTTCTCCCTCTTCCAGCATGCCATGCCGAGTGGCACCGCCCTCTTTTAACGTCAAAGCATAGCTGCTATGGAAGCAGCATACTCTGGGTGTGATCTCTGTTTTTATTCCCCCAATCTCTTTTTTAGCCAGTCCCTCTTCACACCATCCAATTAATTGCTGTTAGATGTGTTCCAGCAGTAAAACATTTTGCTTTGGAAACTGGGCTGCTGCTACAAGTTCATTTATGCTTTCCTGTCACTTATCTCCAGAACAAAGCTGTTTGTAATTTTTTAATGTAAGATTGTTTTTCTGCTGTTGATGTAAAACAGTTTGTGGCTAGTCTGGTTGAGGTTTATTAAACTTTATAAAACATCTGGTGAAAGAGATATTTTCATGGTTTCTTTTAAAAGGAAAACAAAAAAACCCCCAAAAAGTTAAGAATGTACTTAAGTAAAACATGGCTTATAGGCAATGGGAGTCTTGGGTAGTTGGTACCAGGCTACAGAACCAGACCTCTGGCTGAAATGTTATCTGTATTGATACTGGCTGAAAATTACGGCCATGAGGGGTCACCCATTAAAAACAAATAAATAATTCAAAACCTAATCGATTTAGATGGCCTGAAATTTGAGGGTCATGTTTCTTGAGGGAGTCATTCATTGGTGTGTTGGTTGTAGCCATATTGATCTACCTTGGAGAACTCACAACACCAGCAGAGTCTCCCTATGCCTGACAGGGCATTTGTGCCTGAAAGCTTGCAAATAACTTTTTCCCAACTATTTAGTTGGTCTAATAAAAGATATCACTTCTACCCAAAGAACATTGCCATTCATTGGTTCAGAATGTTTTGACAAAATGTAGTCACTGGAAAGTGCTTTCATTGAAACTTTTCTTTAAAAGATATCAGCTTCAATTACATTTTTGTTGGGTAGATATCTCAAGTCCACTACTGAGTTACAGAAATGAAAGAGGAAGAAGGAGAGGGAGAAAGGGAAACCAAGTTTCCCTAGCATAGTGAGTCTGATTCTGGGATTCTCTCTAATTCCAAGTAGGGACTTAAACTTCATTCTTTCACATCCTTGTCAAGTGTTCTAACTGCCTGGACTTCTGGTAGTTCTGTGGACAGATGTATCCTGGAGAGTCCTATTGGAACTAGATGCCATTGGTTATCTAACTTTGTATTTCTACCTGGTTTTCTGGTTGGACAAACAAGCATGGTTCCCATGAATACTGTGGACATGTTACCTGGACTAGCACCACTACTTTATATCACCTACACTGTAATGCTGTGATTTCTTTCCAGGTGGTAGATGTCCATGTTACCTGATTGGAATACAAAGTGAGCTAACAAATGAAGGTTAACCCTTACAGTTCTTCAGATTAGAAGGTGTATTTTCCAGGCCAGGTGGGGAAAGTTTCACTTTGCATGTTTTCTGTTCTGTTGCTTCTAACTGTCATGACTCAGTGGGAAAAGTGTCATGACCTTTTCCTCTAGTCTTTCTCTGGGTATACTTTCCAAATAGAATGGAATGTGGAACTCTTAGATTGTCTCACTTTTTAGACTCATTTACCAAGCTATAATGCATTCTATTGCACTGTCAAAATTGCAGTGGAGGAATAACATGTACCCTCTTGCAGTTTCTCACAAATACACAAGAGAGATTTTTCTACTGGCTGATTAGATGAATTCTAAAAATATATATATTAACTATTCGCTCAAAGGTATATAGTAAGCAGATAAAAGTTAAAACTACAACAGACCTGAATGCCTGAGTTTTGCCTGAAGCTTATCACTTTTGTTAAATTAAGCAAGTGTAGCTGACTCAGAAGCATTCCAACTGCCCCAGTCCTGTCCCTTGCTCTGATAAGAACCATCACCATGTCTTCTCCTGAGCAGCTTGCAATCACTTACCTCTCGCAACTGCTTACGGATCCCTAAGCTTGCAAACAGCTATGTAATATCTAGCTGGTATGTCAGAAAAACATATTTCCATTTTATAGCCCAGTCATTGTTCCCTTGAAGTTTTTTAATCAGAGCTGTTTTATTTCTAACAATTATTTAATTTATTGCTTGTACTTTCTAACATATTCTTTTTAACTTAACTCTGTATAGTCAAAATAAAATCAAGACAGTAAACTGAAATAATAATATTCAGGAAAATAATACAGGTACCAGCAATACCCTATACAGGATTTTGGTGTACTAATCATATCATGGCACATTGGCATTAAATTATTATTATTATTTGTGTGATACACAAATACACATACACTTTTTTAAAATAAACTTTTCTTGTTTTAAAAAAAAGGATATTTTGTTCTTGATTATTTTCTTTTCATCATCACCATCACAACAACCATTGCTGAAACTCAAAATTAAATGCTCACATTTTTGGTACATTCAATATCTCTTATTTCCTTTTTGTTGCAAAAACAGTATCATACTTGCTACTGAGTAATTACAAGCAGAATTATACATACATTTCCCCCATCTGGACCTTAGCAACTTGTTGTTCCAGAAATGTAATTTATGCATTGCAATTAATAATGAGCCATTGTTTGTCTTATAATCTCTGTTTGCAGAGCATTGCACTATAAAATCTGGCTGTTAAAATGGGCCGTGGCTGAAACAAAGGGCACAAAGGTCTCAAAGTGTGTTTTTTTTTCCTACAAAATTTACAGAAATTATCAGTTAATTTTAAGACAAAATAGAAGAAAAATGGAGACTCTGTAGTTTCCAACACACTATTCATCTTTAAAGCAGCTTTTCTTTTTTGATGGAAATGTTGCAGGTCATTACTCCAAAATGCCATCTAGACCCTTTGGGAATTTTATGACAAATCTTCATGTACGTATAGTATATAAATGAGTTATTTTGTACATACCCTTATATTTTTCCATCAAAAATCCCATACCATATTCTCCTTTATGAACATTGCTGTGTGTAAAACAGCATACAATGGATGGTAGTGTTTCTCCTCAGCCACAGCAATCCCAGCTGAGTACAGTGTTCACAAAACCAAAACTTCTGCTGAAATGGACTCATCTCTGCCAGGCAGAGGACTTAAATAAGGGATAGTTAAACTTTTTAATGTGTACATGCAATGGCTAGGCCTTGTCTGTTCAGTTTTGTGTCACTTTTAGGCAGGGCATCCTATTGCATTAGTGATACTATTTGACTATAACAGTTTGTTAACCTGTGGAGGTTATAGGTGTGCTAATAGATATACAGTTTGTGGAGATGGGTCATTTTGCACAATATTCTAAACTTGCCGAGGTACAGTTGGCCTGTGCAACATTCAAGTTTCTCTTGAGCCTTATTTAAGTTACTGTGGGCATGTCTACATATGTGCTTTAATGTGCAGTAGCCCATTCTACTGTGCATTAAAGCAGTGCATAAAAACCTTGCTAATACACAATAGAATAGGCTACTGCTCATTAAGCATCACCTAAAAAGCATATTGGAGGTACTAAATTTAATCTGCATAAGGAAAAGTGCATTAATGCCCTGTAAAGTTGACATG